GCTCTGTATACTTTCTTTTCTTCAAAATCTTATTTATTTCTCAAAACCTATTTGCAGTTTATGTGTTAGGTAAAGGAAAGTTACTTTAGGGGCCGGTATTAGGACGATCTGTTAAGCTTTCCTTAGTGCAATTTGAACATAAAAGTTACCATTGCTAGTTCTTCATTTGGATGCATGTAAATGTTTTACTGGACTCATTGAAATACTAGTACATGAAAACATTAAAAAAAAAAACATGTTTGGAGCCATTGCTTCTCTTTACCAAAATAAAATGACATCTTTTTCTTTTATTACATGTTTTCATTACCGGTCTGATATTTCGGCTATATCAAAAGTTAATTGTTTTGTCATCCATCAAACAAGGTTACCAAATCTTCTATTTTATTAAATCATTTGTTTTTTAATAGACCGCAGTGACGATGAACGCGTATATTCACCAAGAAATGTAGGGAAATAGGGAGCCTATCTGATAGAAATATTTTAATATTTTTTTTCTATGTCAGAATTCAATAAAATGTTGAAATGATGAAGTGTTAAGTGTCTTAACAATTTCTTTCAATGTAAATCTAGCATTTTCAGATATCATGTGGCAAATAGCATTGATATTTTTTGGTGTGCCTACAAATTCCAATCGACCAGATTGACTTTTATATTTTAACTCTCCTCTTTTCCTTCTGATTCATCTGAAAACTATACAGCGGTAAAGATTATTTTTTCCTCATGTAAAAATCATATCTTTAATATTAGTTCTTCATTTTCATCTATTTGGCAGAAATCATTTATGTACAGTTTTTAGCTCAGTGCAAGTGAATTTCTTTGCAATGACAATAGAAAAAAATTATGGGATTTACTGTGATTAGGAGCTCCTTAATAGCTGTTTTCAAACGCCAAAAAATAAAAATTAATACTTCTACATTAATTATGACATACTGTTTATATTGCACACCTTGTTGAACGACCCTCTTAAATGATGAAGGCAAAAATTTTCTTGTACAATTTTATAAGTTCTGAATGAGTTCTGCTTCATAGGAATATAAAACAGGTCGACAAATAAAGGATCAGAGTTATTGCCAAAAGGAAATCCAACAGTTTATTGGAAGACCTGGAAAGTGATATTCACATTAACATGGTAAAACCATTCAAATACGTACTGTTCCTTTTCCCCTTAAATCATGAATCGCACTTTTTTCTCTTTAAAAGATTCTAATCTAAATTCTCCTATCAAAAACGACTGAAATTATTTATATCAACATTATGCAAAATATGCACAAAATAATGCAAAAGTACAGGAAAAAAAGATAAGGCCTGTATAATTTTGCTAAACATAACCCCAACTGAAAATAAAATAAAATGCATTTTATGTCAAAAGCGAACGTAGTACGTAATGGATTTATGCCAAATACAGCATTGTATAAAAAAATATCACACTGTTTGAAATCCTCTTTTTCTGGTCTCATAACATCTCTAAACTGTTCAAAAGATAAATTCAATAAGAAGGCCATAGACAAAAAACAATTTCACTCCAAAAACAGCGTGCATTATTATTATTGGCCCCCTAAAGTGAAAATATGAACATCGAGAATACAAGAATGACGACACAGATATGTGTAATAAAAAAAATTACATTTCATCACACACCAAAGGCATACTTTATTCCTGTCTAATCTTAAAAACAAAAATACTTTCTTGTGTATCTATTCACATAAAACAAATATCATCATGATCATTACATTATTTAAACAACAGTAGTCCTGTCAGTGAATACACTCTATAATTTTGCCAAATACTGATGAATGATTGTCATTGTTAGGCCGTTATTTGCATACTTTGGATTTTTCCTTTTTTCGATCATGACAAGGAGCACACAACGGGTTTTTACGGTCAGCAAGAGAAGCTCATCCCTTCATTGCACCTAATCCTACCTCTTATATTTTAGATGTCTGTGATTGCCCTGCTCCTAATTTTAATGGATGTTTGAGGTTGAATACTGTTCCATAATTGATAGATGATTTTTTAAGTAAATAAATACTTCATGAAAAAATGGCATTACAGTACTCTTACATGTAGGTGCACCTCGTAAAATAGAAATTGATCCCCGCGTAATAATTAGAATAAATAATCCTCTGTCAATTCAATTCGAATTTTCGTTTTAAAATCGGAAAGAGAAAAAAACCTTTGAGATCCGCTGTTTTCCCTATAAGCTGAAATGCTTTTACAATTATGTTGTACGAAATTAAACAACTTTGTAACGTACTCTTTTTCATCATTAATCAACAGGAAACATTTTTAAAAACTGTTTACATTGTACTTGGGTACGTATTCTCATATTTTTTCTTTTAATACTTAAAGTCGTGAGTTACCGATATATTAATTTGTAGAATGTACATGAGTGTTTTAACTTTCTTATCTATAGCAAATTGCCCAAATAACTAATAAAGATAAAATGTAAATAATCAAAATAAATATTTATTTTTTTCTCACCAGTTATAACATGGATTTAATAGCAAAGACATCCTTTAAAGATAGTGACCTCTGTGGTAAATACCAAAAAAAAAATCTCTGCCAAAGAAGATGAGCATTTTAATTCACGTCGAAAAACGGTGTACAGGTTGAATAATTAAATCCAAACCATTTTACTAACCGTAACCTAACTTACTGATCGACAAGCGTAAAACATCGAGTGGTTTCTAAACTTGCTTTCGCCAATTGCAAAACAGATAAAAAGTGTCACTTCCGGTGTAAAACCCGCCCGCGATTTTCTTTTAATCAGAGATGTTAAAATCGAGGAACTGTTAATAACCAGATGTCAAATGGCCGTTTGAAAGAGAAAAAAATTGGTTAATTTTTGTAATTAGGGGCACATTAACAGCGATACGATATCAAATTTTGGTATCAAGTAAGATGCTGCTTAGTTGATGCAATGTAATATAAAGCCTACCATTCACAATCAAAAACATTTATACGAACCGGTAATCTGTGCTTCCGGTCGTCAACTCGAACACGCTTGGTCAATTTTGGCTAAAGAATAATCACTTAAGGTGTTTCATGTTGCTTTTAGAACCTTCGCACTTCCGCACAAAGACGAAAACTGTAACTCTTAATGGCACGAAAGAAAGCCATTACTTTTTTTTAACGAATTAACAATTAACGAATTCTTCACAGAGATATATAGTAATAGTACTAGTATAAAACTCAATTAGCAAGTAAACCTCATTTTAAAAAATAAAGGAAAGGAAAAACATTTTCAGAAAATATTTATTCCAATTACATTTTGCCTTACTTTACTTAATTCTACAGTTTTTAAATATTCAATTTGAAAAAGAATATGCATGTATATATAATTTTATAATAAAGAACCGTCGTAGACACAGTGTAAGAGATGATTTCGTGCAAAACTTCCTTAGACATAGTATCAAAATGAGTTTCATGCTATTTTCATCTACCACTTTAAAACCTCGGTAGAATATTATGATTCTAATCAAAGGGCATGAAGTGTCAATTTATAAATGAAAATATAGATTTTGTTTCCGTGGAATTGAATTATTTCTAGTATCTCCATTTATTATTTCTTCATCACATAAATTTTAAACATTGATTAAAACGATGGACTAATGTGATGGAGACGTTATAGCTGACAAATCTGAGGTCAAACGCCAAGGCGAAGACGATAGTATTCTAAAAAGTCGAAGTATAAACATGAGTTCCAATTATTGTTACAATTACTGGTACATTAATGTTTTGTCACCGTAATATTCACATCTCACTTTTGATGTCCTTCTTTTAAAGATTGCAACATGTTGCTAAATATCAGAAGAGAGGGTTTGTAAAAAAAGAGGAAAAAAGTTTTAACCTCAAATTTTGTCGTCAAGGTAACTAGTGTGTACAGAATGTATTTAGGTCTCCAATTTATGATGAAATACCGTTCTCAAGTGAAAATAAGGAAAACATTAGAAATGAACTAGACATAAAAGATTCTGTCATTGCAATACGTGATCAATAAAAATAAACTCATTTTCTTGGCGAGATATTTCTAGCAAGGAGTAAATAAACTCCCAGAGTACCTGTGTATTAGAATACAGCGCAGTCCATTGAATTGATTGCGAATTTTTTGAAAACTCGGCACTTAATTGAATTTAAAGAAATAGACTTGCATGTCATCCTATTAGAAGGTTAGACTCTCTCTTTGAAAATAAACATTATAAATGGATAGTTCGATCTTCCTTTGAGAATTCCCATTGTAAGCCCACACGGGGGTAAACTGAACTCAATTAGTGAAACTCTCAGTCAAGGTAATGGGCTTCTTATTTCTTTATTTAACTTTCAAGAAAGTCAACAGAACTATGATGCTCTTTGGCTGACACTTTCTCAATCGTGTAAAATTAATTATATCTATTTTAATAAGGATTGAGAGAGTATGTAATATAACAAATAAAGGTCGATATGCTCACTAGTACTTAGTGTTTATTACACTATACCCAACGTGATTTACAAGTCTGTTCCATTCCTCAAGCAATTTTTTTAAAGTCCTATCAGTAAACGTATATAAAAAGTTTAAAATGAATTCTTTAAAATTCATTAAATTTTAGTCTAATTCTTATATATTATATAAATATCTTTTTTTATAGACCACTCGACACAAGAATACGTTAAAGTGATTTCTTTATATCGCATACATATATAAATATATCCTAAAACATTGAAAGAATCGCTCAATTGGTGCATAAAATTTGTATATTAGCGATGTACAACATGACAGCGTTGTTTATTGATACTGGAAATTAATCAACTTCTGGTGTATTACAAAGCAAATGTTTATCTTTTGCCATTACCACCAGATATGAATGCCATAAACAAATTACTTTTCAATTTCCACCACAACTTCCGACATTTCCCTCGATACATTTACACAGCCTGGGTGAATATATTTCAAGCTCATTCGAGAAATAAATGAAATAAAAACAAAGAGGGGTATTTAGCGTGATTTATGTGTAGAGGCTTACCTTTCTATGCAGACAGACACCAGAGAAAGAACAGAAACGTACAGGCACGTCACCTGGATGTATCTATTGAATTTACACATCCCACTCCAATCATCCAGCCTCGATTGAGAATAAACTGAATTATATCAGGGACGAAGAAAACCATAATGAAGAGGTCAGCTATTGCCAGGTTCATAATAAAGACATTGGTCACAGATTGTCTCATTTTCCTGTCTATTAAGATGACCGTTATTACCAGGGAATTTCCCACAATGCCTAGTACACCAATAATGAAAAATAAAATGCTCAGAGTTATGATTGTTCCCAAGGATACAGGTGGTACTAGGGATTCTCCAGGCGAGCTAAGTATGCTAGTGACGTTCTCCATAGCTGTTGAGTTTACAGAAGTCTCTGACAGATTGTAGATATAAAGTCCACTGTCAGATAAGTTCAGTTGACCAAGCGAACTAGCAGTAGATGTATCCATCCTCTCCCAAGACGACTCGCCATCTACAAGACAATGAGAACACGTATAAGTAAAATATATATGCAGTGTCTGTATGTGTTGTTTATGTAAAATAGTCCAATCTCCTTTGTGCTGTTCGGTTCTAAGTAAATACGCTGTCCTAACGAAGTAAACTGTTTATTGACGGCTAGTCGGTCTAATAAACCAAAGGGTGGTCCTCCTTCATCGAACTTACACCCTGTCTTATTTCTCTCCGAGAAACATCCGTCACTCAAAATTGGAATTCCGAAGTTTTATTTCCGAACAAACTAGCCCGAGTCATTAAGCTGAGAAGATGCCTCAAACTCTTTTTAATGAAAAACGAAATTATTTTCCAACGAGCATTTTCCTTCATTATGCTTTGCTTAAGGTGTAAAAGTTTTCTCTAGGGAATGTTGTTAATTATAAAATTATTAATCAAAGTCTATCTGTATAGCTGATGCTAGGTTGAAAAAAAGAGTGGAATAAGATCGCAATTAGATCGACAATTTTTCTTAAGGATCGATTATTCTTGCAAATAAGATTTTAAAATAATCATTGTGCAAAGAATATTCCTGTCCGGAAAGTAACTTACCAGTAACTAGAAGAAAAAAATCCTAAAATGCTTAAGACTTACTCGAACGCTTAAATAAGAGTTAAAAGATCCGATTTTTAGTTAATTTCTGCGGAAGCTGATCGAGACACGATAAATGTTTCACTTAGAGCAAGGATTAACGTTAAACATAATGGCATATGCTGATTGGATACTAATGCACTTCAAACATATATCATAAAGCCAGAAGGTGCACCATCAGAAGTCATCAAATTGTACTACTGCTGTATCTGAAGCGCATTATCACATATCGTCAAAACAGATTTAACTTTATCTTACCAGCAGCGCACAACACTTTTACCTGTTAGTGCATCATAAAACCTACAGGAAGAAAAATTAAAAGCACTTTCATTTAACCGATAATGCTACTCAAAAAAGATATAATAATTCAATATTCCGCTTCTTTTATATTAATTCATCACAATTTCAATTCCTTTCTCATTTCTCTCAAGTGCGCTCTGGTTGTTCGATATATTTTTTTTTATGGATTTATATCCTCTTCAGATTATGAAACAGTCAACATGATGAATAAAAATTTCGTTTCATAAAGCTTGATATTCCGACCAAAGATATAATTGACCGAGCGATCCTTCGTCTTCTCCGTGCAACAGATGCTCGGGTCGACAGATTCTCAATAACGGAATTAACCATACCATCTCAGGTCTGAGTTTTATAATTTCGTGTTAAGTTGTGATCAATGAAGGCTAGCATGATTTCGTTACTCAATTTGTTCACGTCAGAAGGAGTCTCATCAATTAATTTCTCATCATAAATAAACTGTATGGTCATTAAAGTATATCAGCAAACGAATACGTTCAGCAATATCACCGTCATGACCGTCTCAAATGGGCTTAGGAAGCTGAGCACGCAATCCACACGATAAAACAAGGATTTCTGCACCATTTCGTATCGATAAGAAAGTAATGGAAAAATGTTCCCGTTTATTATCTACATCAAAACAAATTTCGTGACATAGTATGATTTATACTCTATTTTTATTGCATTTATTTTATAGGGAACTATATTTTTAACAGCTATTCTTAAAGCTTTCCAGAAATAAATGCAGCTGAAATCAGTACACAACAATTTAATTGTTTTCTAAGACTTAGTAAAAGAAGTTATTGGTTTAATTAATTGAAAATATGCTCTGACTATGTGTACAAAGTTCTCAGAGAATTAAAGGGGAAATTTCATATTTGAATTTACAGGTCAGTTTTAGCTTTTGCAAACAAATCATGCACCTTTTGTCAAGTTTCAGAAATTATCAAGATTTTTGACAATCCTGTCGTATGAACAGGTGTTATGTATACTTCTTATGTGTGTCCTAAACCAGGGAGTCAAACCATTTTCATTTCTCAAGGTATTTGAGCAATACTTGTACGGATAAAATCCCAAACATTCTTGAACCAGACTTAATGAACATAACAGCATTTCAGGGAGCAGCCCGTTTTCCGAGCCAAGATCTGAAGAGGAAATTCCAATATGAAAAATACGAAATAAAGTCGTTAAATTGGAATTCTTGTCCCTTGTTTTATTGATAAAAGATGTGATTTTGCTGTTTATTCATAGTAACACAATATGATAACTAAATTAGAGGCCATGTATATGTCTGGTTGAGAGATTTCAGAGCCATTGATTTCATATATTTGTGCATACAGTGATAAGGTTTGAGGATTATTTTTCACTGCTAACTTTGATTTCTCTGTTCTTGATCATGATTATTGACAGAATCTGGGAATGATATACATGAAGAATATGATGAGCTGGTGATTTCCTAGACAGGTATCGGAGAGAGCAATCGGCAGGTTGACTAAAAATCCAACCATGATTGTCAATGAAGACTTCTAAACAATCCAATATACAGTTTTAAATAAGAAATCATTATTGAACAGGACGACAATAATGTAATTTTGATTCAATAGAACTTTATAAATAGTTCCTCCACCGCAAATATGAACCAGAAGTCTCTGTCGAGACTGTAGCTCTACTGGTTTATACTTAAAACAAAGGAAGAGAAAAGTAGCAGTTGGGACTTGAGACTTTAAATCAGCAATAAATAGAAAAATGATCCTTGCCACTCATCAAAATAAAAACCAATGCACAGAATTATGTATCTTAGTATAGTCTACTTGTGTGCCAAGTTATACTGAAATCAGACCAAAACTGCAGGAGGAGTAGCATTTTGAAAGAATTTCACAGAAATTTCTATTTTTAGTAACCATGGCAACATTGTTCATTGAAATCAAAAACCGATGCACAGAATTATGTATCTTAGTGTAGTCTACTTGTATGCCAAGTTAATCAAAATCAGACCATAGGAGGAGTAGCATTGAAAGTCACAATGAAGACCGTTTATCGAAATCAAAAACCGATAAACAATCCAATATACATGCAGTTTTGAAAGAATCAAAGAAAATTTTTAGTAACCACGGCAACACCGTTATTCAAAAACCGATGCACAGAATTATGTATTTTAGTGTAGTCTACTTGTGTGCCAAGTAATATTGAAATTGGACCAAAACTGTAGGAGGAGTAGCATTTTGAAAGAATTTCAAAGAAATTTCTATTTTTAGTAAACGGCAACACCGTTCATCGAAATCAAAAACCGATGCACAGAATTATGTATCTTAGTGTAGTCTATGCCAATAGAACTTTGAAAGAATAAATAACCACGGCAACAGTTCCTCAAAAACCGCAAATATGAAAAACACGAGTTTATTAACATTATTTTTATCTGTCATTGAAATACTGAATACAGGATTATTTTCGCCCCGTGTTATTTTCGCCCTTTTACACTTGCTTAAAAATGCTCCGTTTTAAATTCGCCCATTTCCACTTCTGTTTAAGAATTTCTTTGTATACACCCGTTTTAAATTCGCCAACTTCTGACAAGGGCGGAATGGGCGAAAATGAAACGGAGGCGAAAATTTCCCTGTATACAGTTCTGATTTACCATTCCACAACAAAAAAATTTCGACATCAAAGTTGCAGCTCATACTGCTTTAAAAATGCTTCACTTTTTGTCTAGATTGACTCTCAGATAAATGTTATAAGATTTATATTTACAAAGTGTAACGATATATAAACACAAATGAAACTGGAGTAGAGCAATTCTCCTGTGCATCAAATCAGCCGAGACATTTATAAACCCCATTTGCAAGGGTATATTGCAATACAAATAAGTGAAGATGACCATTGAAAATGAAAGTCTTTAACTGTAAAATAGTTTTGTTGTTAGGTTTCCATTAACGTTCTTTTCTAGTTTAAAAAAAACCAAAATATGAAACCTATGTGTCAGACTCCGTGGTATTTTTTGTTTCATCAAATGGATGTACTGAATCAAAGGTATGGATGAAAATAAATATTGGCAATTGATAAAACGTCGTCAAAATACCTAAATGTATCTCACTGAAGCCATAACAAGAGACTTCTTCTTTCATAAATCTGAATAAATTCTGCTTCATATAATAGAAAATTAGATCTGTTGATAACAGGGGCACGATAAGAATCAGGAATTCAAGCAACTTTGAAGTGATATATATAGTATACAAAATGTTATGCAACAATTTTGCAAATGATCAATGACAAGGTTCATTAATTTACGAGCTAAGCTATAAATGATGTTAATATGACTGGATTTTAATTTGTCATGGGAATAGTTGTATAGAGTGTTGAGAAATTCTAAAGTTTTGACAATATTGATTTGGGTAAAATTCGGTGATTTCATTTTTTTTTAAAGTTCCTCGGAATTTTTAAAACTTATATCCGCAGCTGATTTACACCAGTTCTCAAAAATATCATTGTACAGTAGTCTGAAGTGTTGCCTTCACTGCTGTTAATTTTCACATAGGAGACAAATATATCTCACTATAAAAATATTACTCGTCTTTAAGATAATATTTAAACCAAATTGTATTGATACTATGCTGCAAATCTACTTGTATATAAAAACTTCTTACAATCTTTTTTATTGTGTGCTAGTAAACATTAAGCCACATGACTTCGAACACCAATAAACTCTCTATTACTGCATTCTTATGTCCTCAAGGAAGAAAGCTGATACTGAGTAGTACTTTATTGTATTAGGTCCATAAATTGTTAAGCTGTTAGAAGAATCATCAGATGTTATAGATAACACTGATCGATTCTATTGCCTTCCCAAGGGTTAACAAGTGTATTTTCTCCGATCGTTCTTTAATTTTAAGGAGCAATTTTCTTGTAAGTAAATTTCCCTGTAACTAAACCAATTAAGACTTGAGAGGGGTGTATGTTGTGATTATTCTGAGTTTGTATACCTTACCACATAAATCTAGAATTAAAGCCTCCCCCCCCCCCAAAAAAAAAAAACCCTGTATGTATTAGGGGAAAATATAAAACAAAAATTTAAGTAATCTTTAAGAACCGAAAAAAAAA